GTAGCTCGACATACACGTGACCAATGATCATTTAATCCACATCGATAACACATGTCCAGTTCAGTGGAAGTCGATTGAACGATATCTTTTCCCTTATTCTTGAAGTTTCAGGCCTTAAAGGCAATGGTTTGGCGCTTCTAGGTCAAATTACCTCCTTTGGGTGGGCCTCTGTTTTGTTGACCTTGGGCCCGTGGTGGGGCTTGCTGCCCATTTCCATGGCCACGACAGGGTTTCCATCGGTCATGGTTGCTAGAATTAGTCGCATGCACTTCAGGCAGAGTGTTCGAGCCAGGTCGAGCTTGATGATTCTTTATCAAAAACTGGTTCTGTTTTTCAGCGATAAGTAAAACAGATATCAAATCCAAAAATTTGGTGAACTTCTGTGTCCTATATTGTTGCTGCAGGACAATATTGATGGCATTCAAGGTCGAATAGGTATTATACATGATATCTTGTTCGGTTAAGTCCTCTTTACAGAACTTAAGCAATGATCGGATTCTACAAACTTCAGAGTCATATTCATTCACAGACTTAAAGTCTTGGAAGCGTAAATGCTGCTAGTTGTGTCTTACTTCAGGCAAGTAAATGTCTTTCTAGTGATCGAAGCGATCGGCCAGAGCGAGTCAGAGGGTATGTGGATCCTCTATGAGGTACTCGGTCTGCAATGCATCATGGATGACACACCCCAACCCAAATCGAGGCGCGCTGGCTATCACGTGAGGGTGACATAGCCATGTGTGTAGTGCATAAGTGATAGTGATGCGAAAATGTGAGTAAATAAAAAGCAAACTAACTAATTTACACTATACTAATAAAGTGCTAATGAAGATATTTAAGTATAGTAACACTTATTTAAAGCGTAGATAACCTAAGTGCAGTCCAGCAGGTCAAGTATACAATACCTGAGAGATGATCCTACAATATTTATAGTTTGTCAGAACCGCCGTCGACTCCTCGTAAGCTACTAACAAGCACGTCTACCTAGAACCTGGAGGGGCTCAAAACAGAAAGTGTGAGTGGGCGAAAACAAAGTTTTTCATAACCATTTCTCTTTCCAACAGTAATAACCCCTCGCCATAAAACCTGTATAGTTTTCCAGAAATTAGAATACATACATATATCAAAACCATACTCGAAAATAGTGAAATTCAGATATATGCCATGTCAAATATCTCAGTATTATAATTAAGTAAACCAAGTGAAGTAAATCGATGTAAAGTGATATGTCAGCTGGATCCACCTAATGTCGCCTGTACGACTGAACCTATAGCTCATCAAGTATGCATGCACACGAGTCTAAAACCACCTAGTATGGTCTGTATGACAGGGCTAGGTGTAATAAATACACTCAAGTGCTAGGATCACGTGAAGGCTGTGCTATAAATCGCGGGTCACCTATGAGTCGGAATCACCTATTGTGGTCTGTACAACAGGGTTGTGCACAAAACTTAGATCCAAGGTGAGCGTGCGGTGCGAGAGGTGAACATCACGTGAATGACTGTGCCCTGGTCACGGGCGGGAGCACTAACATCGGGGTGCAGGTTTATGAGCTCTAAATGTATCTTTGTATAACCATCATAATGCAACTCACAATCAATAACACATATACTCACCTATATGTGAAACAACTATTTTAACATTAATTTTAAGCACATACTCAAAGGTTCTAAAATCAACGGAATATGGTCGGAAAATCCTTCGACAGTCTGACTAGGCCTGTAACTCGATAAACCCAAGTGTCCCAACATCAAAACTACTCCAAAATTGTTCCAACGTACTAAAGAAGTTAGAAAAATACCTTTTTAAGCCTTAAAACTGGCTAAAACTTTTGCGATCACGTCAGAGAAATTCACACTCCTCGTCGAAGTTCGAGTATCTCGAGTTCTACAAGTCCTCTCCTCAAACCAAGGGTACGACTCGACTCGTGAGGTCAAAGGAAGCACGATAATGCTAACCTTACACTCAATCTGTGAAGTTTTGGAAGGATTTGGGAGCTATGAGCTCGGGTTGTACGGAAAGAGAGAGTTCGAGAAAGAAGGAGAGAGTAGGGAAAATGGAGCACATGTGTGCATGTGTGTGTGTCCTTGTCACGGATTGGGCAATTTTAAATTGCCATAATATCTATTGGGCTGCAAGCTTAGGACAACCATTAGATCCAAAACAACCCTACCAAGTTTTTATTCGAACCCAAGAAAATAAGAGATGAAATATTGGTCCGTTTCCTTAGCCCGCTTATACGTTCACATCACATCGTTTCAAGGGCAAAATTGTCATTTCCATGATTTCGGGGATATAATATATTTTATTTCTGGACGGGTCGTCACAATGGATGTGTCTTCAGATGAAGATCATAGCAGTAGCTTTCTGAGCTTCGTTGATGGGTTCATCATTGATACGTTCCTTGATAGTAGCTCTAAGACTTTTTACAATAAGATGAAGCTTCACATCTTGAACCCACTTTAGGTAGTTTCTTTCAGAGACTTCCAGAGCGATGAAATCGAGCTTGTTCAAGTTCGACATGTCCTTAAAATGGAGGGTACAACAAAACATGGTTAGTCGTATGGAAATCCATAGACATATATAGTAGAACATGCGGGTTCTATAGACATGTATTGGTTTAATTTAAGCATGAAAGCTATGGGTTTCATGTGGTAAGTTTTGAATGAAAAATTCGGGTTTCAAAGACATTAAATTCGAAACTACATGTTTGATTTAGTTATGAACATTCAGTTCATATATAGGGGTACATGCAAGAACACATAATACAATATACAATAAAATGTAGTGAATTTGTGGATTGCTTCAGGAACCCAAGTGTGAGTGTATCGGGACTACGAAAGATAGTCAACAGTTCAAAGAAACAAAATAATTTATTGAATCGTTAATTGCCAAAAAGTGAATGTCAGGTCAATAATTTTGGATTAATTATCAGACTAATGGAATGCTGGTCACTTTAATTAATTCAATACATCGTAACCATTCAGGTTTGATCGTAGAAGCAAAAATAATAATAACATTCGGGTTAAAATTATGTAGAATGCCAAAAATAGCATTGGACTTGAAAAACTATAGCCCAAGCTTGGTGGGCTGGGTTGCCGTGTGCAGGGCAAGGCCCTAAAAAGGATTAGTGGGCCTCGGGTATCATGCCTCCAAGCCACGGGCCGTATATAGGAAGGAACCCAGCAGCCCAAGCTGCTGGTTTTTGGGCCAAAATAAGGTAGAGGGTCACTGGCCCAGCACTGGGGCTGGGTTGGGGTGTGCCCATGAAGCCCAGCCCGGGCTGGCTTCGGTTTTGGGCTTGGGTGCGAGAAGCCCAGCCAAAAGGCTGGCTTCAAATTGCGAGCTGAGGCACGGGGGCCCAGCAAACAAGTAGGCTGCATGTGAGCCGGGGCTAGGTCAAAGCCCAACAAGCACAAGTTAGGTCAAGCTGCAAGGGACGGCCTAACAAGGCTGTAGGCCTGCTGGTGAGCTAGGGGCTTCAGGTCTGTTGAAAACTTAACCCAGGCCGAAGCCTGGTTGTTTGTGCAAGAGTAGCAAGCCCATGGGGCTGTTGCACGGTGGTCCATGGCGTTGAAAACGATGTTGTCCTGGTGATGGCGTGGCTACAGGCTAGCCATGTTGGCTCGGCCGCGCGGCGTGGAGCTGTGTTAAATCCTAATTTTTTTTTTAAATTCTAGGGTTAAAAACCCTAGTTGCTTCTAAATTAATTTCGATGCTTTGATTCATAAATTCCACATAGCATAATTCGTATTGCATGAACAAATATATTTATTGACAAAATATATGAACACATATACAATATATATAATTGAAAGGAAAATATAAATACAGGGGGTTAATGCATCATGGGGAATGTTTTCATGCTTCAATGTTGTTTCAAATATCTTAATTTATTTTAAAAGAACCTGATTGGCAAAAAATAATTAAAAGCCTTTGATAAGTAGAAGAAAGCCTCATCCACGATCCTTCAATTCCTTAGCTTCTACCAATAGCTTGCTGATAACATGTTGTATGCCTAATTGACTGAATTGTATTTAGGAATAGAGAGGGAGATAATCGTCGGCAAGAGAGAGAAGAGAGATATGTAATTCTGGAGTGTGTGTTGTATCATCCAATTGTGCCTTTATTTATAGTAGTAGGGAAGATTAAATCATTACCCTAATAGGATTACAAGTTTACAACTCATAGGATATTAACTACAAAAGGAATATTCCAATATATCCCTAAATACACTAGGACTTACATAGTCACATCCATAATCTAATAGGACTGCAACAATTACATAATTTTTTATTGGCCAAATCGGATAAATGATCATTGTGGTCATAAGGTATTCAAAGATAGTCCCTGTGCTAAAAAAACTCAGATTTAAATCCCTGTGGTGTACTCCGTTAGCAAATTTAGTCCAAAAGTGATTTTTCCATTAATTATTTAATACCTGGGTAAAATTGTACTTTGACGTGTGCACCTTCTTCTTCCTCGTCTTTATACAGTCCAAATTAAAAGCTCATCTATCGTTGTCTACATACCTTGTTCTGCTTGAGGACCAAATAGCATCAAACTTGAAGGTCTTTCTGGTGACCCCATTTGATTTGACAATGAGTTCACCATCTTTAGCAGATTCAAAATCAATAGCCATTGAAGCTCCTGCTGCAACTTCATCAGTGTTTAGACTAAATTTGCTAATGGAGTGCATCACAGGGGTTTAAAACCGAGTTTTTTAAGCACATGGTCTATCTTCCGAATACCTTATGATCACATGTATCTTTTATTCGATTTGATCTTTTTCATTAGAACTCAATTTTAAATTTAAAGGAAAACTAATGAAAATGACTTGAAAACTTTGAGTTTTAACGATAAGGACAAAATAAAGAATCAAGTAAATAGTACAAGGATTAACTTTTTAATGTTAAAATATAATTTTTTGTTAAAATAAATAGTTTTTATTAAAGTATCCTAAATTTAATCCCCTCGATCCCCTCTCTCTCCCTTGCTGGCTGCTGGACTCAGCAGTCAAAAAGTCAGCCCCTAAATTGGAGTGGGACCCACAGCCATTCCTCTTTTCCCCACAGAACCTCCACGACTACAGCCCCAAGCCTCCAACGCCCAAAAACCCCACCAAGTCCCTAGAATTCACGGGTACTTTGTCTCCCTACAATTCGATCTCTTCCTCCTCGATCGCTCAATGCTGGTACGTCTCTCTTGCGTTCCGTTTTGCGTCTAGCTTCTCTTTCCCCGAATTTTGTATTTGCGAGGGAAATTCAGGTCAATTTGGTGCAATTTCCGAAAACCCTAATTTTTAGTAGCTTAATTCCAGGGTTTGCATTGTAATATTGGGTATCTTTCTTAATTTGGTATATGTCCAATTTCCCGAATTATTTTGAAGTTAAGCTGTTTATGTGCTTTACAGAGTGGTAAACAGTTGATTTAATTGTAAAAAAAAAAAAAGAGCAATTTATGAATAATTGTAGTTGTTGAGTTGCTTTTGTTGGTTGGTTAGAAGAATTTAGGGAAATTGGTGGATTTATAATTTGGAATCTTGAGTATCTTTTCCAGTTGTATGGGACACTTGGTAAAGGTAGCTTTTTGGTCAACTCTGTTTTGAAGAAATCAATTCTGTTCTTGGAAAGTGAACTTACCCTAAGTTTAACATCGAAACCGGGTGGTGTGACATTGTGGGGTGGAAGAATGTTTTACCAATTGCTGACATGTACACGGCACTGTATTATTTCTGACAATGATTCTTGTTATCTTTGACTTTAATGTGTAGATTTTTTTCTGTGTATATGTAAAGAACAGAGTTTGTATTTGGTTTTGTACTAATTTAAGCTGAATGGGTATTGTAGATGTGGTCAGATAAATTCAGAATGGGCATTTATTTATGGATATGATTTGTCCAGTACTTGTAGATCACTGCATTTGAAATTGTTTCTTGAGTGAGCTGAACTAGTTTTATAGGAAGAAAGTATTTGTTGATATGAGCCTGTTCCCTTGGGCCTGAGTAATGGCGGGAGGTGCAAGATTTGAGATGAGTTCAGCCAGTCCAGAGGACTTGGCCTTCGCTGGGGGCCATCCAAATCGGCTGAGGGGAAATTACCCTGGTTCCAGTTTCGATAGGTCTGGAAGCTTCCGTGAGGGTGGTGAGAGTCAGATGCTTAGTTCTGGTGCTAGTACTCCAAGGGGCAATGGTACTTCGGCAGGAAATTTGCCTCCACTACCTCAGTGTTTACTGTTAGATCCTATTACAATGGGAGATCAGAAGTTTACTCCCTTAGGTGAGCTAAGGAGGGTTCTGGGAATGCCTTTTGGGGGCAGTGTAGAAGACAATCCATGTGAAGCAGCTAATTTGAAGCCCCACACTCCAGTGGCTACAGAGGACCTAAAATGGTTCAAAGACGGGGTGCTAGTGGCCTCAAACAAGGCCAGGTAATTTAAATAACTTTGAAGTTTCCATTTATCCTTGAATCTGTTTATTTGTGGCTCGAGATCCTCTCTAGTGTTGATGTCCTTTTTTATGAAGTTAAAAAGTTAATCTTTATCTCTCTAATAAATATAGTTGAACATTGTACCTGTAATTCAAGGTTATGTAGTATCGACCTTGTCGAAAGTGGGTAAGCCTTGGGATGTCTCAAGAAGTATTCTCTCTGCTGATGTTACGACAATTTTTGGTCAGGGTTAGAGCGAAAAGGTTGGATGAATCCATAGACAAATTGAACAGGTATTGTGAAGCTTTAAACTTAAAGAAGCAGCAAAGGAGTGAGTTTATAACAAATGAAAGATCAGGTGGGTCAAACTTGCTGAAGGTGGGAGCTTCGAGAAACTCTTCAGATCCTATGAATCAAAGGCTGGAGGTCAGGAATAAGTCTGTTGTGATGAATAGGCGAGTTCGCTCATCGGTCACAGAAATAAGGGTATGTATTCAGAGAGTTAACCTTGTGGTTTGAAGTTAATTGCTATATATTAACATCTAATGCTATAAACAGTGGCAAACATACATTAGTGGAATTAGTCTTCCAGTTTTCACTTTCTTAAATTCTTAAGAAATGTAAGTTTTACAGAAAATAAAGGAAGATACAGCCTGGGAAAAGAAAATCAAATTAAAGAAAAGGCTTGAACCCATAACATAGGCATGGGAATTTGAAACAACAAAAGGTCACTAGAAATGAAGAATGTAAAAAATTTAACTGGTGTTGAAATAGCACTAAATGTTTCTGATAGAAAGTAGTACCACCCTTTCAGGTTTAACATTATCCTGAGCTGGAAGTCTGAATACATTGACTATAAATTTTTTAGGTTTCAGCTTGAAAGTCTTTATCCTTGCAAATCTCTAACTTGTTTGAGATTCTTAGGGTTTCATGGCTAGTTACATTTGTTACTTAATTTTGAATCTTGTTTCCATAACATGTACATTTGGGATAACTTTATTTTTTTAGGCTGAAAGCAAAAATAATGTGCTGACAAGGCAGCCTGTGGTCATGGGAAAAGATAGGGATATGCTTAGAGGTGGAGGCTCTGATCTCATTGAGGAAAAGATTCGCAGACTACCTGCTGGAGGGGAAGTATGGGATAAGAAAATGAAAAAGAAGCGTTCTGTAGGCACAGTATTTAGCAGGTCCATGGATGGTGATGCAGAGCTAAAGCGAACCTTGCATCATAAACCTAATGAGGAGCCTTGCCCCCAAGCCTGTGATGCCCAAAGTTTCAGGTGACTTTATATGTTAACAAACATCCATCACCACTTTATAGAACCAAGAAATTATATAGTCACTATGTTTGTATTAGAGGTATATTTATCATATCTACTGGCAGCATAGTTGGGTGTTGTGATGACATGCTGTAGTTAAAACTTATTAGATGTTCTTGTTGTTCTTTAAAATCCCTTTTTTTACCTGTAAAGTGTAAAATCGAATAGGAAAAAAGTAGCCACCACTTGAATTGCCATTTTCTTTATTTTGTCATATTCTGGACATTTCCCTTCAATGTGTAAAGACCCAAGGGTTGAGTGAAATAATGTTTTGTGTTTGTTATTCTAACAAGCCTATGGTGTATGAATTGTTTTTGAAACATTTTATTCTCTTCTTAGTGAAGTAGAGGTTTGATCATTCAGTATTCAGGGTTGTATAGTTGTGGTTTCCTTTTGAAATTGTCTTGTTTCATGCAGTAATCTTTTTACTGGTTTTGCCTCCTTATTAGGCTGGTTTGCTATTAGCTATTAAATAAAACGAGAAATTTCTCCACGCTTGCAGATCAGGGTCATTTACTGGTGGTAATGGCATTAATAAGTTAGATTCTAATTCCTTGCCTTCCAATGCAAATGGTCGTATTATGCTCAAGAATGAGTTGGACAAGGTCTCTCTTACAAGGGATTTAACGTCTGGGTTGACTAAGGAGCGACTTGTACCAAAGGGAAACAATAAGTATGTGCTCATACTATGCTTTTGAAAGAGTTTCTTGTAGCTGCATTGAAGGTTTCTTTAACTGGCTATTACTAAATATTTTTATGTCTGATCTGGTGACCACTCTGTTCAGATTAAACGTTCGCGATGATAGTCAAACACTCAATCCTGATCCAGTGACAAAAGGAAAGGCTTCAAGGGCGCCAAGAAATGGCCCTGTAACTGCATGCACCTCATCTCCTGGTCGTCCTCGCACATCTGGAACACCTGAGGGATGGGAACAACCTCCAAGTATAACAAAAAATCATTCGGTGAGTGGGGCTACCAATCGCAAACGTCCTATGCCTACAGGATCAACCTCTTCCCCCATGGCTCAATGGGTTGGTCAAAGACCACAGAAAATGTCTCGAACCAGAAGATCAAATCTAGTGTCGCCTGTGTCAAACCATGAAGTGCAGATGCCCTCAGAAAGCTGTTCCCCTTCTGATGTGGGTGGTAGATTAAATTCTTTTGGGACCAATGGGCTGCTTCAGAAGAGTGTTGCGATTGGTGCCAAGCAGATTAAAATTAAACAGGAAATAGTTTCATCTCCTGCCAGATTATCTGAAAGTGAAGAATCTGGTGCTGGTGAAAATCGTGAAAGTAGATTGAAAGAGAAAGGACCAGGTTGCAGTGAAGTAGATGAGAAGGCTGTGAATGATGTTCAGAATACTGGTTCTTCAATAATGCCTACAAAGAAGAATAAATTGCTCAATAAAGAGGAAACTGGAGTTGGTGTTCGGAGACAGGGAAGGAGTGGAAGGGGATCATCAGTTTGTAGGGCTACAACTGTAACTACAAGGGAAAAATTGGAGAATCCAGCCTCGGCAAAGCCATTCAAAAGTATGAGGCCTGGTTCCGATAAAAATGGAAGGTGATAACTAATTTATTTATTCATTAATATTTTCTTTCAGAATCATATGATCTATATTTTATCACTTTAGCATTTTCCTGTTAAAGCAAACCTCGACAGTATTATGTTTAAGCTTTGTATTTTTTCTTATTTCAGTAAGGCAGGGCGTCCTCCTCTGAAGAAATTGTCAGATAGGAAGGCGTTTGCTTTTCCGGGCCATATATCTACCAACGGTTCCCCTGATTGTGCAGGTAGAGTACCAGCATTTTATTTATTGGTATATTTTGATTAGGCCTCTTTACTATTTCTTGTTGTACCAGTACCAAAAGGTTATTAATAGAGAAATGATTCTTTTAATTTTCTCAGGGATCAAACAGTATTAGGGTTTGGATACTTGGCTAATTACATTTCTGTATAGGGAATTTTTAGTAGCACTAAAAAGTCATTCTGCACTCCTCCATCCCTTATTTACATCACCAGGGAGGAGTGCAGGATGATCTTTTTTTAGTGCCAATAGCAGCTTCCTTCTGTATATTGTGCCATCTGTCGAAGTTTTACCTTTCATTTGGATATGCATGTCCGTACACTCCATGAATGATAAGAATCATCAATGTTTTAAAAAACTAGCCTTGGGGCGCACCTAGGGCCCCTTTGAGGCTGGGCGCCAAGGCTAACGCCTCTGTTTTGAGGGAGTGGGCGGAAGGCGTCGTCGGAGCCACCTAGGCGCGCCTCAGGGGATTCTTTTTTTTTTTTAACTCCCAAACCCAAATTTTGGGTAGGTTTGAACTACCTCATACCTCTTCCTTGCACTATCGTCTCTCTGCGTTTTGTTTCTGATTTTTATTTTTTTTATATAATGGATGTGTGTGCTCTCTGCGTGCATTGTTATATGTGTGCTCATTGTGCTTTTCATCCTCTATTATATATATATGTGTGTGTATATATAATATATGTATATGTATGTGTGTGCTCATGGTGATTATTGATTAATAATCTTTTTTTTTAATACAATATATGAGTACGCTTAGTGTATATATTAAAAAATTTAGGTCCCGTGAGGTTTCAACTCACGCCTAGGCCGGGCTATCCCTCGGGCGCCTCGCCCACGCCTCATGCTTTTAAAACACTATCATTATATGATTTCAAACTTCTTTAGAGAGCTATACTAATTTCTTTAGATTTTTTTCCAACACAAATAAATTACAATATATGTACTGCTTTGGCTCTTTGAAACTTAAAGGCTGCAATGATATGCGGTTGCTTATGATGTTTCAGGTGAGCCAGATGATGACCATGAAGAACTTCTGGAAGCTGCAAATTTTGCCTGTAATGCCAACAGTATGTTTCTGAGACTAATCTATAATTATGTGTGTACATTTATTATACGTTTAAATGTGCATTATAACTATGTTTATTTCCTATACAGTAAATATGTTTTTTTCCTATACATTTTCATAATGGTATTGCTTAGTTGTTTTTGCAGATTTGGCCTGTTCTAGTTCATTTTGGACGAAAATGGAACCAATTTTTGGTCCTGTCAGTTTAGAGGTGGTATCCTACTTCAAGGAGCAGGTAGAAGCTAGAATTTATCACTACATCTCACTCAAGAAAATTTCTTTTATTAGGTTGCTTTGGTCCCTGACTAATGCTTTCCCTATTTTTATGTTTACTCAATTCAGCTCATATCTGTGGAGGAGAATGATGAATGCCTGTCTCTGATGTTAGGCAATGCCAATAATGTTTCGGTAATGTCTAGCATGTACTTTCATTGACAGAGGCTTTTGATATCTGATTTCTATCTCTGCCAACTTTCTTTACACTGAATCTTGGTTATTTTCCATCCAGTGTCATATGTTATGTGATTAAGACTTGTATTTTGTATCTCATCCTAAAGTGTGCCACCTCAAACATCTATTTAAGCTTCAGTTTTTAGGCATTCATTAGGATTTTCAAATGTTCAGCAACGCATTTTCCTTCTATGCTTGTGCAAACTCTGCAAACACTATCCTTCTTTTAAGTTAATGTTACAAAAAGGGTGGTTGTGCAAGTGGTTTAGTTTTTGAAATTGATGAGTTTCTTGCAAAGGACATATACCAATAAAGGGCAAGAATGAAAAAGAAGACATTATGAACGGGGTTATTCTGTGTATGATGTTAAATTATTCTAACCAGCTTTGCTTAGTTTCTACTTTACTATTACTTGTTTCTGAGGAAGACAAATATCCTGCCGAGCAGGATACCAACTGTGATGTTAATTATGAAGTTATGTTGTTTCCCAGGGTGATATTGTGCATGAAGAGAACTTTTTGTCCAAGACTCTTATTTCTGGACCTTACAAGTGCAACGTGCAAGACCAAATTCAAAAAGGAGGTGTATCTTGTGGACAATTAGACTCAGAAGGAATGAAGAAAGTGCCTCCTTTACCAGAGAGTATTATCGGCTCTAATCATGGAAGATGACATAGAAGAATTTGAAAAAGACATTCACTGGAGAACTATGTCTTTACAATATAATGGGGACAATTCTCCTGGTGTTACATGTGCCTCTATTACTGTTGAGCCAAGGAACAGGATCGGGATCCAGTTTGCAAATAATACAGATTTGGGTTTGCAGACTCTCAAGCAATGTTCCATTGACAGTTACCCTTACAATGGGGATAGTGGCTTCATGAATGCCACAGGAATCTGTAATCAATTATACAGTAATGATTATTCAAAAGTAGATTTTGGAGTATTGCGTTCAGAGAGTGGGATGTTCCCTGTGTTTTCCGAAAATGGTGCCGATGGGTTACTACATGTGGGTACAAACTCTCCAAGAATTTCTTCCTCTGATTGCCCGTATGAGCAGATGCCTCTGGAGGACAGACTCTTGTTGGAGCTACAAAGTGTTGGCCTGTATCAAGAAACAGTGGTAAGGGCTTACCCTATGCAAGTGATGATGTATACATTTTCAGCTCCATGACCATAAAGTGTATTTTCACATTACTGGGTGTATCAGGGTCAGTCCTTTTTCTGCTGGAAATTTGCATGTCATCCAGTGCTGAATTAGGATTGGGGAAATACTTTGAATTCTGTTGCCTTTTTCAATCCCTTTCCTACAATAATTTAGCTACTTACTGTTTGCGTTGTCTCAGCCTGATCTAGCAGATGGAGAGGATGAAGCAATTGATACAGATATTCTTGGACTACAGAAGCTACTTCACCAACAGGTTATGGCTCTTAGATATCACCTCTTATGAACACAACCGCGTTTTCACATTTTTGAACTGAACTTTCTCCTCATTCATATGATTGCCCATTTTTGTCTTGCAATTGGTCCATTCCGAGTTATGTCTTCATTTTTCCTATGTTATCTCATAGTTTACTAACATAAATTTTATTCTGATTCTTCTGACTTTGTAGGTTGATGGGAAGAAGATACAGTTAAACAAATTTGTTGCAGCAATTGAAGAAGGCATGGACATCGAAAGACGGTGTGATATTTAATACTTTAGATGTTTTCTAGAAATTTGTAGTATAATATATTTTATTGTACAAAAATCAACACAAGAACTGATTCATTGATTCTGTAGAAGTTTTAATCATGTGGCTAAATTGCAGGCGCCGGGAGCAGGTTGCTATGGACAAGCTTGTTGAGTTGGCTTACAGAAAGCTTCTGGTACTTTTTTTTCAATTTGCTTATTGGGATGGGATTCAAACTTGCATGTACCAAGCATCAATTACTTACATCTTGATTGAAGTGCAAAAATAATGATGTCCTTTAACTGTAGCATGTACCCACATTCTGCTGAATTATAGCTGTAGCATGTTAAGTATGAAGTATTACTTTAGACCATAAAAAGGTCTCATTTCTTGTTTCTTAGGCCACTCGAGGAAGTATTGCTTCAAAATATCGGATTGCTAAGGTTTCAAAGCAAGTTGCCATTGCTTTTATGAAGAGGACTCTTGCTAGATGTCAAAAATATAAAGAGACCGGAAAAAGTTGTTTTAATGAGCCTGTACTTCGAGATGTCATTTTCGCTGCATCGCTTCCCAGTAGCAACGAAGAAACCATGAAATGCAACGGCTTAAGTTCACCACTTGAAAATCAAAACTCTCAACAAGAAACTGGGGTTTCCGGTTAGTACTTTTTAGTATTTAAACGCGCTTTGCTTTTGAGGAGTATTTGTTGGTTTAGCATAACTTTTTTTTTTTTTTTTTTTTTTTTTTTGTGTGTTTGTGTTTGTGTTTGTATATGTTTAGAAATTTATGTGCCACAGTATGCATGTTTTGCAAGATATTGAAAGAAGTTGTATAGTTAGAGGCCATATATATCAGACAAAACCAATACACAGTTTTATTGCTCTCCCATGATTTGGACTTTTGTCCAAACAACTCTTATTTACTTATGGGAGCTGTTGTCGGCACTCCAAAAAGGCCCTCCAAATTTATAAATGTACAAAGGAAATCTGTATGGGGAGGAGTGCCAATAACAGCACCCTTTATTTATAAATATCTTTCTTGCAGAAACGTAATCTCAGGTGAACTGGTTTTTGTAAATGCCTTCTCTCTTTTCTTTTCACAGGTTCTTCCAATTGGGCGGATGATCATCATAATAAGTATGGCAGGGGTTATGGTATTTCTGGAAGTCTTACCCATCCCTCTGAGCAGGTTACTAAAACTGGACCAATATTGTACAAGGGAAAAAAGAAGGAAGTTCTGCTTGATGATGTTGGCAGCCCCTCCTTGAAAGCTGCATCAAATCTTGGTACTGTGTTGGGCCAAGCAAGGGGAAAAAGAAGTGAGAGAGAAAGGGACAAAGATACATCAGCCAGGAATTCTGTTACCAAAGCTGGCTGTCAATCATTGGGTAACAATAAGGGTGACCGTAAAACCAAAACAAAGCCCAAACAGAAGACCGCTCAGCTATCAACTTCAGGAAATGGGCTGATTAATAATACCCCTTCAGCTGGATTTGTTGAACTTGTTGGCAACAATAATAACGGTAAACGAGAGGTTGAGCCTGCACGTTATAATGACATTCCTCAGGGTCCTACAGAGACCAAGAAACAAATGGATTTTGCAAACTTGCATCTGAATGAATTAGACTCAATAGAACTAGGAGTAGCCAATGAACTTGGTGGCAACCAAGATCTGAGTACTTGGTTTAACTTTGATGAGGACGGTTTGCAAGACCATGATGCGGAAGGGCTTGACATTCCTATGGACGACCTCTCAGATTTGAATATGCTTCTGTGAGGACGACAGTATACTGTATATTTCCTTGGATTACTTGACCTTTTAGACAAGATTGATGGTGCTATTGTCAGAGGGAAACCTGCCAATATAAGTTATGGCTCTGGCAAACAGGCACATGTAATTATGGCCATTCTTTTTGTATACTCGTCTGAAGAAGTTTAAAATAGGAAAACAAAAACAAATCTCAACTGTTTATGTAATGCAGATAAATTCTCTTGTCATAACAAATAACAGTTTTCTTTTGAGCATAATTTGCGTCTGTTATTTTTCTTTAATCTAGCATTGCTGACTTCATTTCCATGGAAAATAAATTTAAGTGCTAACTCGAATCTGGGTGCCAGTGCTAACTGATAATTACTTTCCTTCCAATATTTATATAATTTTGATATACTATTTGTGGCCGTTATTCTGCATATGTGCACTAATGAGTATGCTATATTTGACAGTGATGGTGGATTATTCATTTACTGTTCTTTTAAAGTTAAATTGCATTTGATTACACTCAGAATTGTTAGTGGATTCATCACTATTATTGCTTTTCTTGGGAAATCAAGTGGAATCTTGTTAACAGGTACATTCTTATTTCGGGCATTAAGGACTTATCTGACTAAAGTGGTTATTTGCCTCGTTGCTCAGTTCAGGCACCAGGGTATGCCTTAAAATTTACTATGGACTCCTGATTATTTTTTTGGTCAATACAGGTCTCCCCATAAATGAAGTGAATGCCTGGAAGATCTTAGTAGTATTTGTTATAGTAGGTAAATTTTTTACTCTTTCCTAAGACGACCTGTTTTGACCCAACAAAGAGATAGGCTCATTAAAAAATTTAATTCACTCTTGACCAAATAAATCTTTCTGGATTATTTTGATGCTTTGTGTTCATTCTCTTTTTTTAATACTTTTTTATGTCCCTTTATCATTGAAGTTTGAGGCAAGGAAACAGGATTTATTAAGGTAGGCTATTTTCTTTCATATCCTATGACAGCGACAATTACTTGAGTTCTACCAAAATCAGCTTTTGGGATCAACTATGACTTAACGTGATATCCTGAGTTTTAACATAATTTGGATTTTGTAATCAACCGTTATTTGGCATGATAATGTAGTGTGCTGTACCACCCAACTCATAACCTTGCCCCCCGTACCCTTTTCTGGTTATGCCATTACCAATCGTAGGTAACCCCCTATTTATTATCTGGTTGGTGTTTGTACTCTGGTGACCCTTGTAACCTTGTTCTTGGATAAGCCCTATTTTGTTAACTAGAGTGGGACTGGGCCTACACATGATAGGGAGTATTGAGTTCTGTTGTCAAGTTGTTGAGGGGCTGATCTCCTAACAGCTTAGGCTTTTGGGATTTACAGTTGCTTGGATTTGTTTTGCTACTAGAAAACGGAGAGGTTTTCTGGTTTGTTTTCTGTTTCAGGAGCTTTTACAGCCCGACCTCTGCATATGCAGGTATGTTTCTGTTTCAGGAGCTATTATAGTCTCGGGACCTGTTCATTTGTAGGTAATGTGGTCCCAATGATATAATTTCGTGACTATTTCTTTCTGTTTAGAAACTTGATGGATCTGCAAACATCTGCTTCAAGTTGGTCGTATCTTTTCATGTATTTCATTGGATTGTGGTGGTTGCTTTACTTGAATTTCTCTTCTTGTACGTTGTTGCAGGTTGGATTCTGATAGATGCATGTCCTGAATATAGCTTGTCCACTGTCCCAGCTTGTTCTTTTTTACTGTAAGATGATTGTCATTGCCCTAGCATCTGGCTCTGTTATTTTATCATTAGTTATCCTTGCCGTAAATCTTGTCCTATTTTGCATATATTTTTAGGGGATGGAGCCTCTGGCTCTGTTAATTAGTAGTCATTTCTTGAGGAATGTTTCTCTTTACCTCCCTAATGGATTGTTAATTTATTTCAAATACTAATAGGTTTAAATCCGTTTGAAATCCAGAAGCAGCGAGAAACCACTGTTCTTGCGTGTATTACATTCTCACGAAACATTGTGGCTTTTTGTTTTCATGGTTTCTATGATCTTTCTTTCCTTTCTCAAATATTTTTGTCATTCCTCCTCGTAATTTGAACCAGTATTTACTTATGCATGTTTACAGAGGCTGGTACACTTCCCCTTCAGATTCTTTTTCATCCCTGTGAATCCAATTTCAACACATTTACACTAGTATGTTACAATTTTGAGCTGATTCAGTTTGACATTTCCGCCAGAGTGGTGTACAAAAAATGGAGGCCAATGTAGCGTCTCCCTATCCTTCCCTGTTGCCCTTCTCTTTTCTTTGGTGGAATGAGGAAAGGAATGGGGGTCACATATCTAAGGTATGTTTTCTTGTCGATGTATTAATTACTAATTTGGATGAATGTGATACAATCAGGAAATTATAAATGTGGATCTGTTGGATTTACAACAATGATGAAAGAGTATTAGCCATTTCAATTATCATTAGATAAACTGTGTTTGTAATTGTACGTAGGTTGAACAGTAGGTAGATGACTAACTGGTTTGAATATTGTTGAAAAAAAAAAAGAATGGTTTAAATATTGCTGTTTTTTGGCAAAGGTGATCATAGACGGGATCCTGAAATGGACAGGCTGGATTGTTGGGCCATATTAGTATGTTACGGATGTTATATAAGTTCGTTATCAGTTGACACTTAAAAATAGTGTTTTGATACTGTGTAACTTTTGGTAAGATTTCTTCTCTTAAATCCTAATGTTATAATGATCATCCAATTTTGATACTGTGTAACTTTTGGTTGTCATTCCATGAATAAATTCTAAATCTAATAAAGTATAGATGGAATGGGTAAAGATATTAAGAACGATTAGGATATTATTAACAAGGTTTAGAAAGGAAAAAGAACAGTTTGTATATGATTGAGCAGTACACAGGACTCTTTTGCTGAGGAATCAGTAGGTTACTGTATATAATTTTACCAGATCAATTGATAGTGTACCTTGTATATGAGTGGTGTTCTGCTGATTCAACCGTTGAATTTAATTCTCTAATCATACCCAATGTTTACTTCATATACACGGTACTAGAATTAGTATCCTTAAACTAGAAACGTAACCCTCATCATATGGTTGTGTGGGTGTTAAAAAATTATGTGAATGGGTTGAGCAGTAAATTCAATATTGTTTGAGCATAGAACAAATCCCACAAAAACTTAATAACAGGTGTAACACACTCTAGTTTCCAACCCCAGTTGCTTTGTGTTATGTGGCTAAAGGTGAACAGTGTCATGATTGATGTACGAGAGCTCTGATATTCAGACAGAGTTTAGGGTGTAACAATGAAGGATTTACGTTTTAAGTAGTTTTAAGGATTATGCGTAACACACTCCAGAATGTTAAGACACTGACCAGTTAATATTTAAACAAGGCAGAAAAATATCCAGTTGGAAGGTTAAACTTGTATTTGTCACGAAGATCTCTTGTAAATGTTGTGTGTGTATTTTTATGTATGCAGTTGCTCGCAACTGAAGTTTGTGGTGGCGTGTGTTCAATCTCGGTAGTACATCAACAAAGGTGTGATCTGCCTTTTGATCTTTTGCTGACAAAGTTCCAAGAATGCACGTCAAAGTATTACCTTGCTGAATCTCAATTTTGGACTTCAGGAAGTCCATGCTTTTTAGATTTCTTGCTGAATCTCAATTTTGGTGTGAAGTTTGCAAAACCAGCAATGAACGAATAAGAAACAAAAGAGCTGCATATTGAATGGAACGGCACGTAGGAGCAGTTTCGTTTCATTGCTATGCTCTTCAATATTTATCATCTGTTTAATTATCATTTTGAGTTCTCTAATTGAATCTGTAGGAATGTCCAGCTGCTGAATGACAACAGAAAATAATGATGAATAGAGCCTGCAGTGTAATTTTGTGACCGCAATTGTCCTCGTGCCTGAACCTTGCTTCAATGGTATTATGCGCGGCAGAATTTTGGATTGAAGCTTTTGGCGATTTGCTTGAAAACAAGATTGGGTAGCCCGTATCTCAGATCGTTGTCTAGGAGAATGGTCATGTTGCAGTGGTGTTTTCGGTAGCTCTGTGACGCCAAGATTGTTTCACGTTGCATTCAAAGACGCTGCTTTAGTAGTCACCTATAAAATCAGTATACTATCCATTTAATTTTGTTTTTCCTGTTGTAAAGTTTGGAGCCTCCAGCACAAGTGCTTCCATGTTTGGGGAGTTAAGCCAAAGAGCATAATATTAGGCTTTCGTTTGTATACTTAATATTTTCCAGGTGAATATTTTTCTGTAGGGAAATAGTTTGAGCAAAAAGCTTTTCGCTTTCCCCAATTTCTAAGTATTTGGAAGAAAAATGGCAGCAGGCATACATTGCTGCTTGGCCAATTTGCTATTTTGTGTTGATGTGGATTGCAAAAAGTGAATGTGTAGTGAGATGCCACACCAGGCAGCACACCAAGGGCACGCATATCTTGGTCTGCGGGGCTTGGTTTAGAACCCAACCCCAATATGAAAATCAACTTTTTATTAGCAACTTCCAACCATGGTAATTGGTAACCCAAGAGCTTAAGGGCGCACTTTGTGTAATTTCACCCAAGGTGAATAGACCAAGGCTGCCATAACCACCTCACGTGGTTAGGCTTTGTGCAGGCAACCAATCACTTTAATGCCCTGCTTAGTTACAAGCCCACGCTATTAGGCTCAGGAATATCATAGCATTGTGTAAATCCTTTTAAACATATTTAATATCTCATCTTCGTTTGATGTGAGACTTCAGCAATTATCTAGTAACTACTTTCCCACTTTCCAAGCAATGAAATTCAAAATCCAATACATAGCGATCGATAGAAAGATCTTGTAATATTAATTTCCCGGTGAGACGTAGTAGACTTAGAGATTTAAGTGTTCTCTCGTTGTAATACCGACTCCTACATATTTACTTCCAACAGAAGCCTTGCGACTCAAGGAACAGAAGTACAGATAATGCAGTGATTTTGATCTCTTCTGCAAATAGTGAGGAGAATGCTTTATCCTCCTCTTCATAGGTGGTTCAATGGGTCCCTAGCTTTCTGTAAAACTGTAACGAGTTGCTCTACCGTTCTCGAGACAAATCCGGCATTTGGAAGATGAAGAGCTGTTTGATATTCCTCCTCGCCGAACTCCGCCTGTTTTAATGTTCTCATGTAACTCTCAGTAGCTGATCTTGGATGACCCCTAGCAATGGAGACCTGCGGTTTTACCGAAAACTGTTACATAAGGTGAAAACACGATTAATTGCCTCGTGCGTATAAATGCAATATGCAGCCTTAATGCATCAAAGATGTTAGACTAGTTTAGGGCTAGGGAGAAAAATAATCTGCAGGACAACCAGATCTTATATCAGCTCTTTAGAAACACGAAAGACATGAAAGAGCGACTAATCCTAGGTTAGTCTTTCTCTTAACATAGGCTGAATGAAACTACCTTAAGTCCTTAAGTACTTTCAAGCAGATCTACCTTTAATCTTAATGTTTCGAGTCTCTTAAGTTCCCTCATTTTCTTGATACTTTTGTTACCACACATGTCCCTCCATATGAACGTTATCATTCAACACATAACGTCATGAAATATGGCAATCGATATGGATGTTAGTCATAGAAAACCAACAAAATAACTATGTAACCATGACAATCAAAATAACGCAGCGATATGTACCAAAAAGCCAGAGCTTGCTGAAAAGAAAGACTAGAGAAATACCAAATGTCCGTTCCCTAGCTCGCGAAGCCAAAATCGCCATTCTCTCATAAGCTTCCCCTCAATGTTTACAGAAATATTTGTCCAGCAACTGTGATGAAATTCCACTTTGTCCAAACCATATGCTATACTGCTCCCAATTGCTTTGACGTAAGCTTCTTTCAAACACCAATATCTACGCACAAGAAAAAGGAACTTGCAAATCATCAGCAGCTCAAATTTTTTAACCTCTCCGGGATGCTGTTTGTTTAAGAACTAAATTCTTATAAGACAGAAAAGTTTTCCATTTATGCTCCGATATATAAAAACTTGCATTCCAAACCCGAATGACTCACCTAAACATTCAACTAGAATTAAAAACCTGTATTGAAAGGTTTCTACTCAAATTGACGCATGAGCTTATCCCGGCAGAAAACATAGTGAAAATAAAAGTAAAGTTTTCAGGCAAGGTCTGCTAGCGATATCAAAATTAGCGGTAAAATGTGACTGAAGGAAAGAGCGGTAAAATGTGCTGAGCAAGATGCTCAAGTTAAATCCATAATTTCGCATTCAGGGGAGATATATAGTATTAATCGTAATTGATGTTGAAATAAGATAAGAAAGAGGTCGCACTTGGTGCGATGGCAAGTGCCTTCGCCCATGAGCGGTAGGTCTCGGGTTCGAGACTTGGGAGCAGCCTCTCCATAAATGGGGGTAAGGCTAGCCGACATTCACCTCTCCCAGACCCTGCGTAAAGCAGGAGCCTTGTGCACTGGGTACGATGTTGAAATAAGATAAGAAATAGAGTGTTCCAGTAATTCTCTAGCGGATAACACAGCTTTGCAGTAAGAATACAAGTGTATAACTTATAAGCATACCGAGATATGATCAATTTTTCAACGGATAAAGTAGGCATTTGATTACAAATGAAGAAATAACAAACTGTAACAGATCTAAATGGCTCAACGAACAGATGAAGATTAGGGTACCTGTAAAACTCAGTCAGAATATCATCCGAGGTTCCAGCGTTGAGTATATTATCCCATTCAAAACTTGAAAAGCATGAGGAGAAGTTTTTAACAAACTCAATAGGCGTCTCTTTCTGCGGAATGACTACCGAAACAATGTCCACCCCCACCAGGCACAGAGGTTCCGATGCTATAGCAACATAGTCGCCATGATGCGATGCATTGAAGTTAAAATTGGGAAAATCCACGCAAGCGTGGCCACATTCCTGAAAACAAAAGGACAATATGCATATTCATAGCACAATGAACAAGATACTAATGCTAATCCGTGATGGTAATACATATTCGGATCTTCATCAAAACCAATTTCAGTCAGACAAAACAAGAACTGATGAGTGTAGTCATACCAGATACGGTTTGCCTTCCAAGGTGCGGTTGATGATAATTTCATGAAACGGAATTGCCAACACTTGATGTGCAAGAGCATACTGAAGCAAGCGGCTCACAAGCGCCCGCTTCCGGTCTTCCATCTGTACAAATCTACCAATGTCAAAATATAATGTACCTTCGTTAACGTTCTCAAACGATTATTCATAAGTTCAAGCCATAACAAAGAGCTTCAATGCTTGTTTTCAAAAACAACAGATCAAACCTCCTCTGTTCATCCATTCTATGTTCCTTATGGAAAGTGAATATCAGAACACAATACAACACGAGACCAAAAAGAAAGCATAGGAGAGAGAGGGAAAACCTGGTGACAGATGATTGCTCAAGTGGAGGGAGGAGAGAGAGAGCAGAGGAGAAATCATGGGGAGAAGGGTCCCATTCTGATATGTCCACAACCCATCTCTGCACCCCTCTTTCCATTCTCACCAAACAAGCACACACAGATCACTCGCACGCACAGTTGTAGCCGCTGCTCCAAAGAGAAGAAGAAGAAGATGCTTTGTTTCCCTGTTTCGGTTTCTTTCTTTCGTCTCCCGTGGACGGTAGCGCACAAATTTTTTTGAGTCAACTACGTTTTACCTCCTCCTCATTTGAGGCGTTAAAAATGGCCTACGAGAGTTACTTTTTTACCTAAAGTTTTTAAATTGTGTCAATTTACACCAAAAGTAAAATATTTCAAAAATTCGAACTACTTAGTAATATAAAAAATGTTTGTTCAATATTGTATTGAGAAAATACTAGTTATACTCAGCTGTTAATTGGTAAAAAGTCGGACTACGGACTATGAAAGACAAACCCAAATTTACACTTTTTATCCCCTCTATATATTAAGGTAGGAAGCATTCAAGAGAAAAGATTTCCATTTTTTTATAAAAATGAGGATTAATTATGGGGTTCACACCACATCGAATTTTAACGATATGAATCGTTTATTTTTTAAGTTACACCTCATAGATCATCCTTACAGAATATTAGCCAAATCAAAAATATTTAAGACATTTAATTGAGTTCAAAAATATTAACGAATACTTTGTTATATAAGAAATAATAAAATTTTATCTTGATAATTAAATAGACAAATGGTTTCGGATTGAATTAAATTTTTTGCAAGGATGATCTATGAATCGAGACTTACAAAATAAATGGTTCGGATGGTTGAATTTCGACGTAAAGTAGGCCCCATACATAATCCCTATTTTTTGAAAAAAAATGGGAATCCCTTTGCATAAAGGGCTTGTATAATGATATATATATATATATATATATATAAAGGGAAAAGCTCTTTATGCAAATGGATCCCCATTTTTTTTTTTTAAAATGAGGATTAGGTGTAGGGTCTACTTCACGTTGAATTTCAACGATCCGAACCGTTTATTTTATAAGTCTCGATTCATAGATCATTCTTATAAAAATTCAATTCGATCTTAAACCATTTGCCTTTTTAATTATCAAGACAAAATTTCATTATTTTTTATATAACAAAGTATTTGTTAATTTTTTTAACTCAATTAGATGTCTTAAATATTTTCGATTTAACTAATATTTCTTAAGGATGATCTATGAGGTGTAACTTGAAAAATAAACGGTTTTGATCGTTAAAATTCGATATGATCTAGATCTGACAACTAATTTCCGTTTTTATAATAAAATAGATTCATTCACTCAAAGGCTTCCTATAAAAGGAAGAGAGCAAAATAGTAATTTTAACACAAACCCAGCGAGTAATTACTTCATTTCTTATTTTTAGTAGGTAGCACTTTCATTTCTAATTTTTAATTAAAAAATAGATCCAACAATAAAATTAAAGGTTCATTTTCATACACGTAGGCTTGTGCCATAAAGGCTAATCTCTTTAGTAGTCTATTAAATTATTGAGCTTTTTTGTTCACAAATTTTCTCAAGGTGATTTGATGAATTTTAAAACGATATCCGTTTAGATGTTCTTTTAAAATAATTGAAAGTGTTTTTTATGAGCATATTTTAGAAATAATTTTTAGTAAAGATGTTAATAAATTCTAAAAAAATACTTAAACTGCTTTATGAAAGAAACACATAACTGGTATTTCTTATAGAAATGATATAACTGGTGAAAAAGCATTTAAAATGCTTTTGAAACTCAAAAATATTTTTTTCTAAAAACTCTTTAAATTATTTTAAAAAAACATCCAAAAAATGTGTTTAATATAAAAATAAAACGAAAATATATAAACGAACCCGTTGAACGCAATAACAGGCAGGCTTTTCTGTGTGAGCCACAGCCAAAGAAAACGGAGGCAAACCCTCTCCGCACTCTATCTCTCTCTCTCTCTCTGTGCCTTTCGCCGTTGGGTTTCCACATCCCCTGCAACTACGAAGCTCTCTCTTCCAAATCCAGGTTTTTTTTTTCTCAATAGCTTTTATCCAGCTTTCTCATTTTTTCTGGTAATTTTTACTTGTTAAGATTAATTTGGTGTCTGGAATTTAGGGGTTTAGTTAGGGTTTTTGAATTCCCAAATTATACCATGACTAGGGTTTCTAATTTAGGGCTCTTAATGATCTGTATCAAGATTTTGATATGAAAAAAATAATATAAATTATCCAAATTGTTGTTAAGATTCATTTGGTTAACAATGCAATGTAAGGTCTGCAATCTCAATTTTTGTTTGATTTTAAGTGAAATAATGAAGAAATTAACAATTCATGGTAAAATGAAATATTGAAGAAATTAACTTGAATTTGGGAACTGTGTTAGGAATTATCTTGTGAAACTAACTGCTTATATTAACATGTCCTGACTAAAGTCTTTTTGTCTCTAGGAAGATATTGGCAATATACCAAATCAAAATGTACAGATCCACAACGAATCGGCTTCTCCGGCTCTTTGGCGCACCCTTGGTTAGCAATAGCAATATCCATATGCTTCGGTTCCGTCCCCTTCAATCCCTCGTTAGTCGTACTCACTTTTCCACCACTGTGAACTCTGAACCATTTGTTGATAAACCCCCTAGTTTTGCAAATTCCACATCATCAACGGCCGATGAATTCCCTAATGTTTCGAATTCCACGTCATCAACAGCCAGTCACACGAGGAAGCCGAGAGTAGAATACCAAGATGAGCAAGCTCGCGTGCTCCAGGCCTCACTTCCCCATGTGATAAGGTTGGGATGGAGCGAAGCCGCAATGATTGCTGGTGCAAGGGATGTTGGTGTGTCTCCATCTATTGTCGGATCATTTCCAAGGAAAGAGGGCACCCTGGTGGAGTTTTTCATGGATGACTGTTTGCAGAGGCTTATTGATAGAATCGAGTCCAGTACAGATGAGCTGAAAAGTTTGATACTCAGTGACCGTATCACCAAGCTTATCCGTATTCGCTTAGAAATGCAGGCACCCTACATATCGAAATGGCCTCAAGCTCTTAGCATCCAGGCACAACCAGTGAATGTTCCCACAAGTTTTAAGCAAAGGGCGATGCTTGTGGATGAGATCTGGCATGGTGCTGGCGACGACACCGCTGATTTTCAGTGGTATGTGAAGCGGACTGTCCTCGGAGGAATATACTCCACAACTGAGATTTACATGCTTACCGACGATTCCCCAGATTTTCGTGATACATGGGCATTCTTGGATAATCGGGTGAAAGATGCTTTTGACTTGAAGAAAACCATTCAGGAGGCAACATACTTGGCAGAAGCTGTCGGTGCTGGGATGGGGACTTCTTTCCAAGGATTTGTGAAGAGAGTCTTTCGGGGCTAAGAAATTACGAAAGCATTCTTTTGCAAGCATCAGTCCTTCCTCTGGTCAGTATACTTGAATGAGATGCTGTGTTACTGCTTTAGTAGTTTTCGGGGTGGTTCGAAGTTGAAACTGCTGTAAATGTTTTCTTTCTATATCAGGATCCATTTGTTTGTGAACGGAAGTTCCAGTTAAGCTCTCAAGGCTGCTGTGTTTGAAGGTTACTTTTGGTACTTTCTCCGTAGACTTGTAATAAATAAAATTATAGTCGAAATAAGGTAAAATGGAGGTGTAATTGGAAGCTGTATGGGGGGTTATATGATGTATACGAAGAAAATGCTTAAACTTAAAAATCTTTAGCCATTCAACCATGGATGGTTCGTAACAAGGGTCACTCGCTTTCTTCCAAAGGCAAGTTGGTGTTCTTAGCTTGTTCCTCTCTGGATTGCATCGTGTAACAGCACAAGTTCGGCACGAGCACGCTCGAACTCCGGTTTGTTATCACTACCACCGTGACCGTCGAGTATCTCTGCACATTCAGTCATATCCTCGGTCGCGGAACCTTCACGTTCGTGATCGGGACCGATCCTGGTACAGAAGATCCAAACTGCCAATCGACCTTGATCGTTTGATCGAGCTCAGGTCTCACACCTAGACCGAAGTATATGCTTAGCCGTTCGGCCGCGTATTGGACGCTCGCATTCACACCAGATTTCCCAAAGACATAGTTAGGTGATTAGGTCCTAGACACTATGTTCTGATGAGAGAAATGAACTTGGAATTTGGCAAAAGTCAGAATATATAAATTGATTTGCACCAATTCTCTTGTTTAAATTCATAAACATAGAAATTTAGAAGTTCCGCATGGAAAAAACTTGAAATTTGGGATCTCCAAATCTCAAGTTTAAATTTTGTGTAAATATGCATCATTTCCAAATTTCTATAGGTGAGATTTTAAAAATGACAAATTTCGTATTCAATTTCATTATTCTTTTAGGTTAATCAAACAAGAAAATTCCTAAATTCTATTTAAAATAAAATTATGTCATATCAATTTCCAGTCATTAAAATTCCGTCAATACGGTTTGCACTCCACGTAGGCCTTGTAATTTTAGGGTTAACATAACTACATTGACAGTTTGTAGTCTATCGCTGTAAGATTAGTCGGGAATTACAACACCATTTTTGTCCTGCCCTGAACACCAAAGCTGAAAATTTCGTCAAACTTGTCACCATACCCATTTTTATCCTTCATACCCGACCGGGTAGACCGTTGAGACCCGAACCCACAGGCCCTACCCAATTGTAAAAATGGCACGTTACGGTTGAAGTCTTTGACACGTACATCGCAGCAACAGGAAGCTCTCTCCTGCAAGAAGAAAAAGGCCTCTCTCTCTCTCTCTCTCTCTCTCTCTCTCTCTCTCCATTTCGTCGCTGGGTTACTTGTGTCTGCAACAAAGAAGCTGTCTTGGAGGTCAGTGGTTTCATTTTTCTTCCTCATCTGCCACTTTCTGCCATTGTTTTGATGGCATTAAGTTATGCTATATATGTAATCTAGGGGTTTTTGATTTCTTGTTCTCTGTAATTTAAAATCGTAGTATTGATTTTGATGAGGTTTTGGATTGTTGGTGGGTTCTGATTTAGAGGTTCTTTTGTTTTTCCTTTTACTGATGATAGTGTTATGTTAAATGTGTTGGCATTGCGTTTAATTTGGTCATCATTTACATTTTACAGTTGGTAAATTGAATGATAAGTGATGGCTGTGCCACAGCCAAGAAGGATAAAAATGATGGGATAATTCTCAAGTAATAATAGGGCCTGTTTCGAATCTTTTAAAATGACTAAAAGTGCTTAACAATAAGCATTTCTGACAGTGTTTGGTAAAACACTTGAATATCTGGTTGTGCTTCTTACAAAAGCGTTTTCAAGAAAAAGCGGCCAAACGGACACATAATCTTCAGGCCCTAAAAGAAGGAAGTGATTTCTGCACATCAATTTTCACTTTCTGCACAACCCTCTTAATTGTGGCCATTGATTCTCCTTTGATTTGTTCAATCCAATGGCTTGAAAAAAAAAAGAAAACTAACGAAAAGTCCAAAAAAACTCTCTTTTAATGAAAAGCCCTTTTTAAAGGTATAGTGAATAGTACCAGGGAAAGGTATAAATGTGGTTTTTCGTTAAAAATGAACAGTACCGGGAGTGTTTTATTATAACTCCCTTGAAAAAAAAAGCGTGTGCAGGAGGTGAAAAAAGGTGTGCGGAAATCATTTCTCCAAAATGAAAACTTTAATATGAAATTTACTGGAAGTTATTGGTAAATTTTACAATATCCTCTCAGGGGTTCACATCTGAGTCTGACCCTGCATTTCTAGGATTCACTGCTCCACTATGTGAGGTTGTATGGTTTTGTATACAGTACATTTTGCTTACAGCATTCTAAAATTTCACCATGCACTTTTTCCTTATTTTTTCAATGTAATTTTTGAAATCTACCCTCTCTTGTTATTGCCACTCCTAAAAAGCTATCCAAAAAAGCTAAACTGCACTCCATGATTTCCTACTCAACGATCTATCTAATCTTAGCCCCACAAGATACTAAAAGCTTACAAGGCTTAAACTTGATACCTCAGAGTGTTTGGCTAAACATTTCCATACAGAAATGTTTATGTGAGTTTGTTGGATATGTTTGTGTGCCTTCATCCTCTCAAGATATTTATTTTATTTTGGTCCGAGTTTGACCTCATGATGACATAACATTTCAGCTCGAGTCGTCTCAAAGTCCCATCTCAACTCATCACACATAGTTCCAGCCAAGACCAGGCCGAACTTGGGCTTGCTCCAGGAGCTAACAGCATAGCCACTCATTCCAGAGATCTCTCTGGATCAAATTTGAAAACCCTAGTGAAGAAAAGAAAATGAAAAGAGAAAAATGCCATCATTTTCAGTTTTCAGTTTAACCTGAAAAAGTTTTGAAACATTTTACTGTAAATAAAGGAAAGGTCTTTTCTTTATTTTCTTCTAGATAAAGTATTTATAGTTGAAACAAATGGAAAGTGGTGGCAAAGGAAGAGAAGAGGAACCAGATGGCATGTCTGTACGCTCTCCATGCAACGCTTCCCCTTCCTCTGCTTCTTCTCTCCCCAAGGTCTTCATCTTTATATAGACATGTACATACATATATGTTTTTCATGTTAATTTTATTGACTCTTTTTGTCGCAATTTTCTGGTTAATAGGACCAATCAGAGATTGAGTTGGAGCTTATACTGCTAGAAGCTCTTGAATTTTATCCCCTGACGAAATTACAAGGTAAGTTTTACGAATCTAATTTCACATCTTTGTATTTCGTTTTTAATTACTCTATGTGAGTAGTTGGGTGAAACTTCTATGGAAAATGTATCAGTTTGGTTGTTGAAAAAGGCGGTCAAGCAGCATCTGTGTCAAATCACATGCTTGAATCTTCATACTGAGAATTATACATATGTGATTGAAATTTTTACCTGCCAATTTTTGTACATTTATGTTCTGGATGATATAAGTGAATATTATCACTCAGTGTCTTGCAATGAACCTTCACATGGGAAGAAAAGCTATGTCTAGGAGTTCATGCACATTGAGTAAATTGTAAATAATTAGACTGATAATTGTCCATTTTGGTTCTCGCATTCAAATTTTTTTCCTTATATCGTGTTGTTCATTAATAGATAAGAAATCGGTAAATTGTTTGTGCAGGCATACATCGTCACTTTGTCCTTTATGGTTTAATGGATTTTCTGCAGAGAAGGTTCCTTTCCACCTCACGTTACTGCTCCCAGGTTTTCTAACACTTATTCCAGTGAGCCTCCATTTTCTGATTGATAGCCTCACTCTTTTTCTGTATGATCTTCACAGGTTTGACCGGTACTTCTCTTCTGACGAGGTTCTGCAATTGCTCGATCGGTTCTACAACTTGGAAATGCTGGTATATAACTAATTTAATTTAATTTGTCCGTATTTGCATATTTCAATTTTTGTTATTGTTGTGATGGATTGTCCTTTGCTCTCCCTTTTTAAATGTTCAAATCTACATATTGATCAATATTTGTTTGTTTAGAGTAATCAGAAAGGCAAGTTCAGAGTATCGGTGCATACAACATAGAACTCTTGGTTATTAGTATAAAGCTCTGTTTTTTTTTTTTTTTATTTGATGAATTTAACGTTACTCAAATATGCCGTATGAAATATTGAAATGCTCCCTTGGGATTTTAAGTATGTGTCCTCAAGCCTATTGAGGTGTACATTTTATTCCGTTTTTTCTCCTTGTCTTTCAGAAGCCAGACGATGACGAGATGGAAATCCTGAATCACGAGGAAGATTTTTGCTTGCCTCCAAGTTTCTTTGTTAAGGAAGAACCATAAGCATTGAGCGCCTGTTTTTGTATACAGACATTGTTGAACTTGAACTGATCATATGTTCAATCTATGTTTTTGGCGATTTTTTCTTCTACATATGATCAATGAATCTCGCTTTTGAGCATTATTATCATATATGTAGCAGAGTGAGATCATCAATCAGATCAATTGGTACATGATCGCATTGCGTTAGATCTATCACATCACTTACAATTGGTAGGCATGGAGAAGCGGCACAACGGGCAGAGTCTGCTCTTCTACAACCGTTGAAAAATGCAACTGTCGCGGTCAAGATGCAAATGCAGCTTATGAGTGGCTTCCGAATCAACCCCAATGTCCGCTATACAACAGCAAACCCCTGGTGATGGCGAGGTTTGCATTCTCACCTTCTCCAATTTCTCAGTGGAAGTTATAGTTGCTGGTACAAATGTGGCTGATCCCCACCACCACAACCACCACTATCATCCAACTCCGCAACTACATCAACTTTGAGGAATGCCTCCATATGCACAAGGCTAATGCTCCTTGACCTATCACGCGCTTCGAGCACAATACTTTGTCCGCCACCGAGTATCCGTAGATCCCCCACTGCGGCCGTATATGTACGTAAATCAACAGAAAGATTCAAGACTCAATTGATCAGTAGAACCAGGCGTAACAGCTTGTCATATTGGGATGGAAGGAAGCGAATGAAATTTTGATTGAAGCTTTGCCAGCTCAGCTGGGTGCCCTAGAGCAGCTAGGAGCAGAGGAGAGGAGTCTTGCTTCTCAAGTCAGACACGAAGTTGTTCAAGTCTGGTTTGAAATTGATTGATATACATCTACTTTGCATTTTGATTTTAATTTTTTTCTAACGTACCAAGACTGTGATTGACTTTGAATATCGCCACGGTAGTTACATCAAAGCCCTCAATTGGAATCATTATGTATGGGCCAGCTAGCTTGTAGATTAGGTGGACTGGTGGAGAAAAATCCTCAAATACAATTTTGTATGCATATGAATTAAAGTTTGGAAAAGACTTGTATCCATCACATGGAGGAGCATACTTGTCAACTCATTTGTACTTACTCATAAATGTATTTTTACCGTATAACCATCATAATCAAAACCGTTTATTCTTTTAGTTCTTAAAGATCATCTCTGTTAAAGTCATTCAACTTGGAGTTGTTTAGTCATCTATATGCACCAAATAAATGAATAGTTGCTCATAAGGATGCTAATTGTTTCCAAAGCCGTCAATTTGTTTGACACATGTGGATGACTAAATGATAATGATAAAGAAAATGAAAAGTACTTCTAATTATACATGTCACTTTTGCGATTAATTAAGTAGGTTCCCTACAAAATGAACACAAGTGGGTGAACAAGTAGGTTACCGAGCAAGGAGGTAAACACAAGTCTTGTCCTTAAAATTGTTCCTCTCACAGTAAACGTAACCAACACGTCAAGCAGAAAACTCTCCAACTAATTAATAACTCTCCATCTAATTGGGTGACCAAACAGAACCTAAAAAACTTGTTCTACGAAGTACAAAATTAAACTATTGAAAAAAGGATGAGATTACCACGACGGCAAACTAATGTAAGCCTTTCCTTAATTTATTGAAATGGTAAACAATTTTTTTGAAGTCAGAGAAATGGTAAACAATTAAACAGCTAAAGTACACTTTTTTTGGCAATATTTTGTTATCTCTAACGGAATTTGGATCCTCTCTGAGTCTTGCTATCCTGAGCCTAAGGATCAGAAAATTTGAGCCATTGGTTTGAGTGAAACAAAAAAAATATCAAAGCCCTGGGCCAACCATATAAGTTAACAATGACGGATAGATTCAATTTGAGTGGTCCGGATTGCCTGGTTCTTGAGCTTCGGACAATGAGACTTGGAAAGGATATTAGTCCTCTCCAACGCGTCCAGCTAACATATAAATAAGCCCTCCATGCATGCATTAGTCCTTCAAGTGAATAAACAAATAAGTCTCCTTTCGATCCATCGAATTAAAACTTTTGAAGATGATGATGAAGAAGTACGTGAAGCTTCACAAGTGCAAGCTCCAGCAGGACGAAGAGTCGTCTCAGGGACCCAAGTTAATGGAGGAGGATCACCACCACCAGTGCCACCGCCATCACCAGTACCAGAGCCACCAGGAAACCAATATAGATGTAGTTACTGGTGATGCTAAAGAAGTTGTTAGGCCGCACACACCTAGGAGCACAAAACTCATGGATGCCATGCGTAAGCTCATTGTCCAAAGACAACCCTCCAGTTTTGCTCCCAAAAACAAAAACAATAATACAAATGTCATTGCTCCTAACGATCATCAATAACATGTATATGATCATGTCATATTTGATGGCGGCAGCTACGGGCGGTGGCGGTCGTGGCCGGGGCTTATTCGAAGTGTGTTCCTTCTAACATTCTGTGAATAGCCGGGACATTGAGGAGTAGCCAGAAAGGCATTAATTTAGGGAATCGGTCTGATTCTCTCTCTTTATTCCATTTGAAGGAAAGAAGGATCATCCATCTAATTTCTTTTAGTTGTTGAACATGGTTCATGCTTGTTCAATATAATTATATGAAAGAAGGGAAGAAGGAGATGAGGATGATTCTGTTCTTTTTCTCTTTGTAATTTCACCATTTAGCTTAGCTTAGCTCTATTAATCAAGTCTGGAAACCTTTGAACACAAATAAGAAAGATAGGGAGTGAGGGAATCGCCTTGGCGGAGCTCTCTCATGTATAATGGTACTTGATATACGACACATTGGAAATCTCTTTGAAGGATGGTTTAGTGTTACTGAAAAAATACAATCCAAAAGTAGCATGTATAAAGTTCTGGCTAAAATTTACAACGATGATCCTGAAATAGAAGCTTCTAAAAATCAATCATACTTTCATTTACAAAGAATTTGGTTACAAGGAGAAATTTTTCATTGTGACCAGAGCACAGAGGTACATCACGTGTTTTTATATAAGTGGTGATAAATTTTATTTTTTAAGTTATTAACTTCTTAACACACATACCTCATCATTTGTATAATGATACATTGTGTACTATCCTGTGTACCGATCACGCTAAAAAATCTCTCTGTTACAAGAGCATAACTTTGATACAAATGTAAGAAATTGTCAGAATTCAAATAAGGAGAAAGCCAAGAAAAGATAGAACATTTGACCAAAAAGAAAAGAAAAATGGGAAGAGATCCTCTCCAGATCTCTTCCTCCAAAACCCAATGATCAAATAATTAGGATCTTTGAAATTTGTTAATGACAAAAAAATATTATAGTTTTTAAAAGTTTTTACTAACTTCTCTATTTTTAACCGTTGGATCAAATTTAAATGCCTAGATCACTTGATCCCTCTGCTTTGGAGGGAGAGATCTAGAAATGATCTCTTTCCAAGTAAAATTACATCTTTGACGCCAAAGCCTAGGCGGCGAATGGCATCCTCATACATCGAACAATCTCAGCGCTGTAGTCAAGCAAAGTCACCACTAATTCATTATTCAAACAAACTAATAAGTAAAAACTCAAATTTAACGCAAAAAGTGGAGGGAGGAAGAGGAGGGTAACATAATCTATCGTGGTGAAGAACGGAGAGAGAAGCTTATGGGCTGTCTGAAATTGAGGCGAGTTTTGGGAGGATACAAAAAGGCGAAGGGGAGGTGAAGCTGAAAGCATCAGTTAACAGTTGCGCTTCCTTTATCCTGATGGGCTCAATTAAATTATAGCCTAACCATTCATTGAAGATGATAATTTTGATCATGTTTTAACTCTTGAACCTTAGCCCTTTCCATTGAAAATGCCCTACGCCAATGAGCCCGGAATCTTTTTAGGCATATTTGTTTTGGCCGGTTGCTAAAGAAGGTTTTGGGTTTTTTCGGGCTAAACACAACCCTTCGGCCTATGGTGGGAGATGGTCTAACATCACCAATAATGGTTGCCTTTGTCATATTTTTATTTCCTTAAAAAATATGGGCAAATAGGTCTTTCTAGGTAGTATATGATGTCTTAAGCCATTTGGACCAAAATTCCTCCAAAATTACTTATTTATCCTTCCAAAAAGAAATGGTCATTGGGCTAGTGGAAAATGTGTAAAGAGTTTGAGCCCCTTGAGAACTCGAACTCCCACATATGTATGTTTGCAGTCATCGTTATGTTTTTGCGTACAATTTAATATGAGTGCCAAAAGATATGTTATCACCTCATGCGATACTAGAGCTGAATAAAGATAAATTATTTTATCATCAATGTATAATAGGATGCCTCTTATGTTCAAAACAAAACAAAACATTACTCTTTTTTACATTTAACTTCTTAATGGAAGTGTTATCTCACCCTATTTATTTCTCATGCCCTCCTTTCTTTCTCTTTTTTTTCCTGACATTTGAATTAAATAAATAAAAAATAATTCAGAAATATTGATAAACAGACAAGTTTTGTTGGAGAAAACTCAGAAAAATGATGTGTAGAAATCATTTCTATTTTTTTTAATTAAAATATCAAAAATTAATTCCAAATATAAGATTCAAAGGTGAAGAATTTCTTTCTTTTTCACCTATTTTGAATTTTGGCTGCCTCAAACACTTCCATAATACAACACATCTGATCCGATACTTCTCTCAACAAATATCACATCAGATGATCTTGTTAATCTTGATCATATTTGTTTTGGTTTTAAAATTCGATAGACAATATTTATAAATTGATCTTTTGTTATAGGCGCCTCACATATATAACGAAAATGAGATAAAAAATATTTGACCAAAATCAGATCAAGATTCGAATAAATAAATAAAACACTCTCTCATAATTTACGAAAAAAAAAGTGCATAAATAATAAAAATTGATGAATATTTGAACATGGTTGAACAGGAGGAACCAAGAAACCCGGGGATTAATTAGTATCTGGACCGAACGCGTTTACTTCTGGCCCTCTGGGTCCTCAGGCTCTCCCCACATTCACGTTCACACACAAGCCTGTCCGAATATAATAATATTTCTGCTCTCCAGTGGCAGCAGACAGAGACAGACAGGAAAACCAACCCTCCATTCTCTTTAACATTCCATTTTTACTAGGCAGGCGGGCAGGCAGGCAGCCGCAGGCAGCTTGGTAAAACCAAAGGAAAAGGTCGATCCGTTTTCTCGCTCTCACCTGCAACTTACTAGTTACTACCTGCCCATCTTTCATTTGTACCTCTTTTACTCAGTTCCTGTTTCCTTTTCTCAGTTGGGTTTTGCAGCATCATCCTTGAATTGTTCAAAGTTTAGAGCTTTTAATTGATTTGTTTATTCATCTCATCTGACTACTTCTTTGCCCTTTTGGCCTTGTATTCCTTGGTATATTCATCTCAAACTTGTCTTCTTTTTTGTAGTAACTGTAGATTTAGTCGCTGATCAAGCAAGGTTTTCACCATTTCTCTGTCTATCATTTGTGTTTTCTGCAATCGGACTCTGAGTTTATGATTTCTGGGTTTGCTCCATCAAACACAAGAGTTCATGTGCCATAGTCTGATGCAATCTTAGAAAGTTGGTATGGATGATTTCTGAATGTTGACTTGGTAGAAATTTTGATACTTTACTTTTGGGGTTACAAATCCAAGCTTTTGGTCTTTCATGTCTTTACTATAAGCTAGAGTCTAGAGAGATAGAGAGAGAGGGGTTTGACTTGATCAACTATAGTTGTCGGATTTCGAAATTAGATCTTATTTGTTGTGCTAAGAGACATTCAATAGAGGAGGTTAGATTTTGATGTTAAGCAAGTGTTAAGGAAGGAAGGAATCGAGTTTTGGTCAAAATGGGAAATACTTGTGTTGGACCGAGCATTTCCAAGAATGGTTTCTTCCAATCAGTTTCAGCTGTAATGTGGCCAAACCGGTCGCCTGATGACTCAGTTCACACAAACGGAGAAGCTGTCACTGAGACATCATCACCTAAGGAACCTGAGTCACCTATGCCAGTATTAGATAAACCACCAGAGCAAGTGACAATACCAAAACCAGAAACCGAGCCAAAACAATC